ATATGATTGTGTCATACAAATGTAAGCCCTAAATAATAAAATTGGTAGGATAAAATATTCAATAATTTTTCTTGAAATTGAAGCCAATTCATAGGATAGCTTGGGAAGTCACTAAAGTTCTCTTCAAGATCAATGATAACCCCTAGCCTCCTTCCTTTTTATTCCAAAAAAAATGTTCCAAATTTGATTTTCTCCTAATTGACACTCCTTTCTCCGACCTTGAGAATCCTAACCTTTTGAATTTCATGAAAGCATTATTTTCTGATCTAAGGATTTGTTTGGCGTAGCTGCAGCTTCTCAGCTTTTCAGCTGCAGCTAAACTGGCCTCAAGGAAGCTGCTGCGGGGAAGCTGACTTTCTGTTTGGTACAGCTGTGTGAAAACAGCTTTAGTGTAGTTGTTTCTGAAGAAATGACCATGCCACCCCTGTTTGGTAAAACTGTTTAAAACAGAATTGTGACAACAACATATTTGATACTTCTAAACCAGAAGTTCACTTTGAAACAGTTCAAAAATTCAGATGCCCAACTAACTTAACACCGGATACCGAAAGTGGTAAAAGAAAATGAGAAAACCACAATTCATGAAAACCATAGTCAATCATAAATTATATTTCCAATAGATGTTTTTTTTTATTGATTGCATCTTTTGTTCTGTGCTTGAGGCGTGTCTCAGATGGTCCAGATGAATGTCCTAGGCTACAGGAAATTGTATACAGTCCTGTAGCACTAAAACGAACATCAATATATATCATATCCAAAAGCAATGCTAGCACAATTATATACGAGGAATGCATGCTTCCGAAATAAACAAGGGTCATCTACATACATACTACTCATTCAGCATATATGTACATATATAACACTAAATCTGCATATAAAATAAATATTATTTTGGTTATTTAACCAAAAATAATATAATTACTTTTGCATTCAAATATCATTAGAGATTCAGTGCAAAATTGTATGAGTGAAGGTGTTGCTTGTGATGACTAAGAAACTAATTCTTATGCATTTACATATGCAACACCACAGGAAAACAACTTTAAACAGAAATTAAAACAATTGAAGTAATTATTAATCTTTATTATCGTAAATTTAGTGAGAAATTGATCTTTTTAAAACATAAATTCAGTTTTGATCCTAAAAAAATTTACAAAATTTGAATACACAAAATTTACTAAATCATAAATTTATAGCAAATGCAGAATAGGATGTACATATAACCTTATAGCCTGTGGTAAAAGACACACATGCCATGGCTCGAATTGTGGCAGAACCAACTCCTTTCCATTCAACTTAGGATGTAATTCTTTCTTTGGACAAAGAAAATGGAAGCTCTATTTTTTATCTACTCTAATTTAACACATCTGAAACAAAAATTAGCTACTCTACCCTCTAATAACAGTTCCAATCAAAAAATTATATACTCCTCTTGTGGTTAATCATAAGAAAATAAAAGCATGCAACCTTTCAAGGGCTTGTATATGGACCCCAAATGTAAATTCTAGCACACCGTGCCCCAAAATGAAAAAAAAATGATGAAACAAGGCATAGAGACAATACAAGGATCTGCATAAAACCATTAGGAAAATGCTAAAATCAATATAAAAGCAAGCCAAAAGCATAAAAAATTGTCCTCATTTTTTTTAGAACAAGACTAAGAAATATGTCAAGGAAGAAGGAATTACATCCTAATTAATACACACACACACTCACACACACATACATAGTAATATTGATTAAAGTCATATAACATATAAAAAGGAGTTTCTAGCCTTAAAACTCATATGTATTTACAAATCTAACATCTAAACTTTTATATTGTCTCAGAATATAAAACAAGGTACATATTGATTGCTGAAGGAAGAAATAATGACCTAATTATGAAAGCTCAAATTATAATCGGCCTCCATGCTCATAAACAAAAAAGAAGCAAGTCTGTTGATTCAATACCCTTCCAGCGACGAACTCATGCTACAACTCTCCAAAATGATAGGAAGGCCTTCCGTTCAGCAACAAGGACTTCACACACAAGGAGGATGAGGGAGTGGGGGAGAGATTCGAGTGAAAGATGACCATATGAAAAGCAAGAATTTTATGTAGGAGGAGGATGAGGGAGCGAGGGATGATTTTGAGCGAGGAAGGAGGAATTTTGTGCAGAACGAGGATGTGGGAGCGAGCTATGAGAGCTTCAAGCGGGGAAGAAGAGCTTCGAGAGGGGAAGAAGATCTTTGCGCGAAAATTTTAGGGGACTCGGCTGAGGGCTTCGGGAGCTGTGAGTGATGGAGTTAGGGCGAAATCAGTAACGCAGCCGAACAACAAAAAAGAAAGGCGGAATCAAGAATAGGAGGGCACTTGCGTAAAATGTAGAAGGCGCCACGTGGCAAAGCGAGGCCGCGGGGTCAATCCCGCGGCCCACGTTTAAGGAAATTCACTGGCCACCGCAGCTTAACCGCCGCCCCAAACAATATAAACACGCGGCGGGGCGCCACCCCGTTGCTCTACCGTAGCCCCAAACGGACCCTAAATCGAGAGTTTTCTAATATGACTTCATTCATTTAAGATGTAATTAACTATAAGGGCTTGCCCTTATAGGAAACTTTATGAAGCCGACTTAATATAAACCCTATCGAATCTTCTATATTAGATAGGGGAACTTGTCGGTCAACAAAAAAGTTTTTTCATAGACAAAAACAGATGTCATAAATTCTTTAGATAATTTAATCAAACCTCACATACAAGTGATATGTCTATTCCTCAGGATATGTATGTCACTTGTAGTGTTGTGTTCATTTATTTAAACTGATGATTATACGGGAATTGGTTCAGTCTCATATTTTCAAAATTAAAATATTACATTTGAAAAATAATATATATTATATTAAATGAATATATCTTCTTCTCATTTAGCGACCGACACTTATTTTTGGCATGTCAAAGTCCCCCAATCTTATTTGTTACTTGCCCTCAATTAACTTATTTCTTTTGAAAAGTTAAATATGTTAACATGTGGTAGTGGGTTTTATTAAAGACACATACAGTTTTGTCCCATAAATGTAGAAGTTATGATTTCAGAAAAAATTCTAGTAATTCAGGCTAGAAATAGGGCATAAGAACATTTTGTAATCAAGTCCAAGAATTCTGATTTTCTATTCATTTCAAGAATAACTATAATTTGTCATACTGAGGATGCTTAGAAGAATTATAAGAAAAAGAATTTCATGAGAGCTCTATTAGTAAAAATGTAAATACTTAAAAAAATAAGTTCAGAAAATTTCTTTGAGACGATTTAAGTGAAACCAATTTTTAATTAGGTATCCCTTCAAGCTTCTCCTCACTTTCACATATACTTTTTCTTTTTTTTTCTTTCTCGTTTCTTTCTCTTTCTTTTATTTTCTTTTTTACTTTCAGGATCATTTTTTATCCTTTCTTTTCCTTTTTTTCAGCGATGATTACTATATTTTTTTCAGCGAGGATTATTATATCTGGATCAGCCGTTAATGATTTTGAACTTCACTATCCTCCTCATAAAATTAAAACTTATCACATTTTTTTTACCTTGATCATTCGTATTAGTTTCCAAAAATAATTTTTCATACAGTCTCAATTCTTTAAAGCACAGATCTAAAATCTTTAGTATTTCAAAAAGACATTCTCTTTTCTACTTTAAATAGTAAAATCATATCCCTATTTTCTTTTACTTAAAATCTTAATTCTTAGATCTAACCTTTATCACCAAAAATTTACTAAAGTCTACAACAACATTTATAGGATAAAAACATACAGTTCTCTAAAAATAACACCACATACCCCAAATTATTTTAAAAAGATATTTTCTTTGAATATAGTTTCTTAAGGACAAATAAAATTAGGTTTTTTCAAAACTTTTTCTCCCTCCCCAAAACATAAAATTTTCTTAACAAGTAAAAATATTTAGGACAGAAAATATAGGAGCAGGAAGAAAATTTTAAAAATGATTTTATTTAAAGGGTTTAACATGAAAGGATGTAGGTATTATAAACATGTATACGACATTAGTAGAACTTAATTAACATGTATATAACAAAAAGAAATTGCTATGTACAAGAGTTCTCTAAACATAACAAACATACATAACAATAATAGTGTAGTAAAACAATCAGTAGTGCAATAACAACAAACAATAAACATCATAAGCAAACAAGCAGTGATATATCCAAATGAAAACAAATCCACAACTACGATATCTAAGAGTTCAGAACATCTAACAACTTTAATAAATACATCTAAAGAAACATAACACACAACATTCATAACATAAATAATATTCCTCACCATCATCTCCATGTATCTCATCATCAATCTCCTTATCCTCATCCATATGGCTCTGTGGTTCATAATTTGGAAATGGAAGATTAAATGGAAGCTGTACATCATGATCTCCTCAAAGAAAACTCACCGAAGATGTATTGAAACTCATCCTCATCCATATGGCTCATGTTTGAGTTAGAAATATCCTAGAACATGATCAACCTTATCGTCGATATCAATCACTTTACCTTGCAGATAGGCAATATCATGCAACACTGCCTGATAATCACTGTGAATATCTTCCAGAGTTGCTGAAGATTGAGCAGCAATACTTGAGGTAGATGGTCTGAAAGTGGAGGTAGAAGGAATATCTGAACTTCCATCCCTAGATCTCAATCTAGCATGCAGTTCATATACATGTACATTGGTGAGCGCTGTCAAAAGGTTTAGACATTAAGGAATCTTCTGCATTGGCATCCATGATAGAACTCAAAGATCCTACAAATTCATTATAGAAGGTTTAAATGATAAACATGTCATGTAGGGCATGATGCGAACACCTCCTAAGAAAGTCTTTGAATCTCTCCCAGGTCTCATGAATAGATTCTCCATCAATTTGATTGAATGAGGTGATGTCATTCCTAATTTTTGTAGTTTTGGAGGGAGGGATGTATTTTGCAAGAAACATTTGGGCTAAGTCATTCCAGGTCATGATTGAGCCTGATGCAAGGGAATTAAGCCATACCTTAGCTTCATACCTTAGCTTTATCCTTCAAGGAAAATGGAAAAATCCCCAGCCTAATGACACCATTGGGGACGTCGTTGTTCTAAAAGTTGGCACAAAATTCAAGAAAATTAGTAAGGTGAAGGTTGGGATCATTAGTTAAAAGTCCCCCAAACTGGTTGTTTCGAACCACTTAGATTATGACAAGTCATAATTCCAAGGTATTGGCTTCAACAAATGGCTAAATGATACTCATGTGATTTTTTTTATATAGATGGATTGGCATACTCCTTATGTGGTTTCATGGTAGGGGAATTAGGATTAGCCATCTCTACAAGTGATTCCAAAATTAAATGGGATCTCCCAAGATGTCTAAAGGTGCAATCTATCTCAGATTAAAAAGGGACGAGGTCAGCATCAACTCCCCAAAGCATACATAAGAAAATAACAACTTTATGCAGAAAAAAAACACTCTGGCCCACACAAGTCAGTCAACACCCTTGCATGCAAATGCAATACACAATATGCAATGAAAAACTTCAAACAGAAAAATAAATTAATAGCTATTACTTTTGGCTTTTGATTTTAGCTTTTCCAAAAAAAAATTTCTTTAGCACCTGCAAAAACAAATGCAAAAAATATAGATGTAATAAGAAAAAAAAACATAGAAATAGGAAAAGAATAGGTGCCAAAATTAAATCTTAAAATTTTCAACTAAAATTTTTCTAACAGTAGAAACAATTATTAACGTTTTTCCTCGGCAATGATGCTTAAAACTTCATGCGCCAAAACATACTACAAAGCAAGTTTGGCGTACAACGCAAGTGAACGTGTCAAATAGTTATGCGGTTAGAGATTACCACATATCGATTCCACAAGGAAAATGTAATAATTATTTAGGCACAAAAATCTCTAGTTTACAAATCCGTTGAACTTAGCTTGGCAAGTTCATAAGTAATTTTTTTAAATCCTAATACTAATTAATAGAAATAGATCTCAGCGTAGTAGAGATAAAAAGCAAAATGGGAAAATTTATTAGAGCTTTCAAGATAGATGAGGCTCATTCTCTGTGATTTGGGGATCGGGGTGATCGTTGCTTCCTAAATGTTTTTGTGCATGATCATTATCAATCAAGGCTATAATACTCCTTGCCTATGTCTAGGTCAAAAGAAGCCTAGAATCTATGAAGTTGAGGCTTCCTCAATCCACATGACATTCTGCTTAACTGATCTAATTTTTTGGAATGATTGCAAAATTTTACTGAAATGTGTCTATCCTTTGAAATTTTGAGTTTAACGCTTGTTTTTTATTACGTAATGGTTAGAGGTCATATTTTTACGACACTTTTTAACATCCTTGTTGACCAGACTAAGAGTAAATGTTCGGAGGTTAACCAACAATATAGGTCGTGAAAGCATGAGAAAATGCAATCAAAAACACATCTCAGAGAACCACAATAAAACTACTACCCCTACATCATAGAAAAATGAAGGAAGAACTAGTCATGCATTATTGAGAAAGCCACAAACATAGAATCCATGCAGATTTTCATTGCAAGAAAATAACAAAAGCAATAACTTACAATAAAACACTTGTGAATTTATTTTATAGACAGAGCTCGAAAAAGGTAGAATATTTCTTGCTAAAACTTGATTTTGCTGTCTGGACAGGGTGAACTGTATCTGGTGCAGGTGCGCTGGTAATGGCGCAGGCAGGCTGGTAAAGGCACGGGTGTACCAGAGCTTAAAGCAGGTTCACCGTTCTGTTGGCATGAGTGCGTCGGTTGGAAATCCTTCAATTGTTCTTGTTTTCTCTATTTTTTGCTCCAATTTCTCCATTATACTTGTTTTTAGTGCACAAAAGACAAAACATACCTTTCTCAAGCATAATGGAGTACAAAAAGATATAAAACATGAAAAAATGTGCTCCCTAAATATCAAATATCTCACTCTTATCATCTCACTCGACGAGGATGTCCCACATAATGAAAAATTTCTATCAGTGTTGACAAATATCACATAAGGAAAAGTCCAGGAAAACTATAAATTACCACATCACCTAAATCATAGGGGCGTGAGCCTCAAATACCTTGAAGAACGGTAAGATTTATCTGTTGTTGCTTTCTGCTTTTTTCCCACAAACTCGTTATCTTTTAATTTTGCTTTTTAATATGGTTTTATAAAACCACCTCTGGTTTATGATCACACTAAACTAGGTATAGAAGTATAATAAACTATATATTTGCCATTCAGAATAATTTTTAACACTTTCCTCATGGGATCGATACGCGTTATTCTTTAGCCATATTATTATTTGATATGTATACTTGCGTGATTCAGCTAACTTGCTTCAATCTAACGTTTTGTGCCATTCTGAATCTGGCTAAAGAAAGAATTATTTCTGATCGATAAATTCAGAAAAATCAAGCCCAAATTATGTGGAGCTTTCAAAATAATCCAAAAAGTGATCGATAATGCTTATAATTTTGACGTACCATGTGACTATAATGTGTCAGCTGTGTTCAATGTCACAAAATTGACATTGTATTATAAAGAACCAAAAGCTTCAATAAATGAAGTTGAAGCTCCCCCAACTTTTAGAGACTTACATGGGGGTCGTCTGAGGGTTGAACCGACCTTTGGAACTGCTTCCCTGAAATGGGAGGGGTTTTCTCCTTTCCAGGTTATTTATTAATATAAATACATTGGTTTCCTATTGAGGGTTCAGTTTTTATGAAATTCTGGTTTCTAGCTGTCTACTTTGCTTCCTTGTTAGGGTTGTATCTGATGATAGGTGGTGCTCTAGATATATACAAAGATAGGCGGTGCTCTGCCTATATCCTATCCAAGGTGGTAACTATCTTCTTATAATTTCATTCTACCCCCATCTCCGACTTGCTGCCATTGCCCACCACCCTTCCTTTTTCAGTTCTTGTTGTCGATAACCCTTCCAACACCCCAGCTCCTCATCCTCTCTAATGCCACACCAACCCCAATCCAGGCTTCTAACACTCCCCCTTGCTGTCGCCAGCTTCCGGGAACCACATTCGCTACTGTTAGCCTTCCTACATCACCGTTGTCACCTCTTGAACAACCTTCCACCTGTTGTTCACATCTTGGCATCTGTTTGTATTTTGTTCTATTTTATTTCTATTTTAACGAATCTTTCTTGTGAATCATTTTGGGATTTTTTCAGCAATAATCTTTATGTTTTATTATCTTTCGGATTAACTCTGGCATCACTAAAATTCTCGGCACCCATACAAAAATTGTAAAACTGGCCACCTGAAAGTAAATCATCATCATCACCAAGATAACCTTCTCTGCCACCATAAGATTAGCCACCACTGAAGGATACATGACCCTTTATAGCCAAGTAATTATAATTGTTTCAGGACTGTCTCATGAGGAGAGAATTTATAAGTGCTAAGAAGAGAGATATAAATTAACACAACGAGTGGAGGGCGAAAAAAAAGAAGCTCTCAAAATTCAATAAAAATATTTGGGGGCTGCAGGGGG